AAGAAATATTGAAAAGTGTTCTATATAATTGAAAAGGAGACTAAGCTTCCTTGAATTCAATTTTGAAACAAAATTATTCAATAATCATCCTTCTTACATATTTCCCGATAAAAGAAATTGCGACTTGTAATGTGTTCGTGTCTTTGTCTCCATATATGAAAAAGTAATTCATTTTACAATTGTCTATATGAATTTTTGTTATGTTTTTCATTTCTAAATATGCTGTTATGACACAAGAAATATTCTTTAATCAAACAGCAAACAAACTACAAAAAATACCAATTTTGTTTTACAAAAGTCACGTTAATATGAAGTCAGTAGACAAAAGTATATGCATTAGAACAAGATTTAACTTCAACAATAACTTAGAAAAGTTGAAAGAAAATGTACAGAGTCTTTCAAATAAATTGACATAATAACTTTTTTGGCTTCTAAAGAGCTTTTCTGGAATAACCTCATCGGGTATACTAGAAACAAAAACTGAAGAAGAAAAAAGAAACAAGTAATGTATAAACACTGCAGAGCTAAGCGACAATAAAGACCTAATTAAATAGCCAGAACCATATTTGTTCTATTTTGCCTGAGGGATTGGTAACATTAGATTCTTTATTATTTTGTTTTAAATTTTAATATTATCAACGAAAATTGATGTAATGCATAACAACCTCGGGGACAAAAACCAAACAGCAGCGACTTCATCCGAGTGTCATAACTTAAAATAACGCTATAAGTATTATGAGGCCTAAACGCTTTTTGCATTTACCCTAAACAAGATATGTCATCAACTTCATTCGAAAAAAGTGGAATATGATACACTTGACCAAGCCAAAGGGGATAGGGTAAGGGATTAAGTAATTACTTAATCAAACCACTGGGAAGTAATCTAGTATTACGTTATTTGCAGATATGTTGAATCCCAAAATGCAGTAGAATCTCTGCAAATGCTTCATAAAAAAATGGCAGGATTCAACTGACCCTTAAAAAGGAGGGCATAAGATCAATAATACGGCTTAACATGAACAGTTCTCGTAAAAATAATGTTCTTTGCACATGTGTGAGTCTCCCTAATGCTTTTTCAGTTAAATTGCTAGCATCTGTTATTAAAATTTTATCGGTTTTTCAGTTTTTGGTTTTAAAATGGTAATAAACGAAATGAAACAGTGTTGTTCAGGGTTATTTAAGTCCAAAATGTCTTGTAGAAGAACATTATCTGCTAATACAATCTGCACATTTCTTTGTAGATGATCAATGTGTGGATTAAATAAAGAACAATTGGTACTCATATTTTACACTTTTAGATCGTTCTTTTATTTTATTTCTCAGTTGAAGCAATTTTTATTTCTGATTGTTAATGAGAGGATTCAAACGTGGAAACCCTCATACAGTGAATAAAATCAACATAAATACTGTGTACGACAGACGCGCGTTTCGTCTATAGAAGACTCAGCAGTGACGCTTGAATAAAAAAAAAGTTAAAAAAAAATGCAGTGAAAGCAGCTCTTTCTATTACACCAGATATTGTACTCAAGATTCGGGATATTCTTGATTTTTCTAATATAAATAATAATACTTGCTGGTGCATTTTTCAATTTATATATTATTCAATATACCGGAAATGAAACGTACACTGTAGGAACGACTTATGATAGTTCAAAGTGCTAAAAAAGAAAATATATTTCTGCTTTTGTTTGAAAATTGAAAAAAAAATTCAATTTAGAACAAAAATTTTGATAGTCCAATATTCAATAATAGTTTTCTGAATTATTCGTAAGTAATTAAGTATAAATCCTCTGAAATACATCCGAATATACTTAATATTCAAAATATATTTTTGTTTCTTTAAATATTATGGCACGTACTTGCAACATTATTGCTATTTGTATTCAATTGTATGTCCAAAGTTTAATAAAAGTAAATTTTATGTACTATACCTTATTAATAGAACCAAACACTGTTATGTATTTCCATTTTTTACTGGCCTATGAACGATGGAGAGAAACACTAACAGTCAAGTTAGAGTTCTTGAACACATATTTTTGAGATATTAAAATGAAACAGAGGCCATCAAACATTTGTAATTCACACCAAAATTCCCAAAGGGACAAAATATTAAAATACAACTTAAGACAACCACTGACATCTTGAGACATCAATGCTATTCTTATTTAGTATCATAAGCAAAGGTTAATGAACTTTTAATAAACTTTATAAATTATAAATTAAAACTAATAAATTTTCTGTTACATTCCTTACTAATACAACTACATAAAGTAATCTATTTGTAGTTGTATGAAATACCTGCAGGCAAAAATCAAATGAAAAGAATGGATATCGCTAAATGAACCGCAAAATTACTTATATACAAGAGAATTATACAATATACGGATCTTCGCAGATATATTCAACAAAGGAACTAAAATTCCTATAAAATGAAAATCTGACGAATGGAAACCGAAAAAAAAGAAGACAGTGGTGACTAACATTAAATTTTCTTTAACTTAACAAAGCTACACCATTTTTAACATAAACAGTTCCTTTCCTTAAACTGTTGTGCTACATTAAAGAACACAGCTTTGTTGTTTTACGGTCTACCTATAACAAAATCCCAATTACCATTACTGATCTGCTCCAGTAACCATTACCGTTGCCATCTTTTTCACAAATATCAGAGACACACAGGACATACAATGGTGCAACATTTAATGACAAAAAGAATAAAGGAAGCATTTTGGCCACATAATACGAATGCGTTAAAGTAACACAACAGTTTGATGGTTGAAAATGCTACATTGTATGTTAGAAATGCTGTGTTTTTCTCATCTGCTGAGATACAGACAGACGAGGTACCAAAAGAAAGAAGATTAGTGGATACTGCTTAAACACACTGTTATTCATATTACAAATAAGGAAATAAATAAATTTAAAAAAAAGGTGCCAAATCATATAAGAAGAAAGTTTTCAAATTTTTCATAACTCTTTGTTCGTCATTTTTGTAGTCAGCACTTTCAATTTGCAGCAATCACATAATTTTACTTTGCATAAATAAGCACAATATGAAAGGTCCAAATATGTGCCTCAGATTTCTAATATCATGTCTATTATAAATAATGACCCGTTCTATTTTCGTCCCAATTACCTTATAAAGAACAAATATTCAAAATCGATTTATTTCCTAAACTAGGCCTTTTATAAAAAAAAATCTGAGATAAGAATTTTGTAGCAGTGCTCATATGCATGCTCTCTATGATGAAATGAACATTAGCTTAGTCTCAATTAAGCCGACTACGCTAATATAAAAATGAGAATGGTGAATATGTTCCATTTCCTTCCCCTAAATGCTTATTTAGAAATATGTAGGTAATGATGGAATTACAATTTAGATACAAACAACCCAATTTTCCTGAATTTGACTGTTGTAATACCTTAAGCCAAACTAGCTTCAAGATATACACAGTAACAATTTAAAAATACATCAACAAAAATCACGAAACAAATGCAAGTTTGTTTTTTAGAGACTTTTGACCTGCTAGTAAGTATTTCGTTCGTGTAAATCATAATCAATAAAAAAAACTTTTTCTGCATTGTATCTAATTAAGTGACGTCTTTTGTTTGTGACGTACTTGGTTTTGTGATAGTGTAACAAAAGCCGTCTAGTACATGTATTACACTAATATGGGATATCTTATCAGAATGTACATAATACATTATTATCACACTGATACATGTATACAGCTAGGTAACACGATAAATTTATCTGTTATCAGCTTGAATAAAATGTAAAAGTTTTATCATTGCAAGTCTTTAAAAATCGGTGACGTAATAGAAAAGGGTGTTTAATCTTTTATAAAGGGTAGGCTTTATGTTTTATGCTATAATTACTTTAATTTTTTTTTTTCTTGTGTCATTTTGGTAATATACGAAATTTATTAGGTATAATTTTCATGTACTTTTCAATTCAGCTGCTTTGAATAAATTAAACCAGGGAGAATAGAAACATTTTTGTTTATATTTGTAAACTATCGTTTGTCTTTTTCGGATGGCGCAGTTACTTCTATGGTAAATCAACCATTGTAACAATAGAATTAAATGGCAGCCAAACAGTGTCAATTTTACATTTTACGTACGTCGCATTAAACTAATACACCGAACAATGAAATGATTTTCTCCTGCTTTCAAAGAGAGGTGAAAGATACCAAAGGGACATTCAAACTCATAACTGAGTCGAAAATAAACTGACAACACCATGGCTGAAAAAGAAAACGACAAACAGACAAACAATAGTACAAAAACACAACATAGAAAACTAAAGACTGAGCAACACGAACCCGACCAAAAACTTGTGGTGATCTCAGGTGCTCCGGAAGGGTAAGCAGATCCTGCTCCATATGTGGTACCGGACTTCTATCCAAAAAAAAGATCCATGTTAAAGATGGACGTCTGATTAGCAAAGCCGAATGTACAATTACGCAGTCACGTCATGTCGGAATTGGGAATTACTATTCGATGCCTCATGCAGATAGGGTGTCAAGGTTCCGTGCACGCTAAAACCATGGTAACAACTCTTTGAGGGTCGGTACGTGACCTGTTGCAAGTCAACTTGAATTTCTGCCCGTATCCAGCATACCCTTATTTTCCAATACCAGCCCAAATGTTTAATCGTTAATCCCGGTCGTGCCACTTTGAACAGCATACCTATTAGATTTATATTCAATTTGTCCTCGTCTTGAATATGCATGAAATATTAGACACTGGTCGTTTTGCCAACAACAATCAATCAATCATGTAGATGAATATGATAGTTGTCATCAATATGACAGTTGTTTTTCAGTCGTTTCGTTGGTTGACATAGTCGAGCGTTTAAATTTGTCATGTTTTCCCCTTTTTGAATTTACGTGGACTTCGACATTTTTGTTAATGCATTTTTAATACACACACACATGAAATAGTAAAGTTGCAAAATTTCAATGTCTTCATTCTTTCAATTTGACACATCGGCTTTTTTTTCAGATTTTACTTTGAAAAAAAGGAATGAAAAAAGGATTTTTTGTCGTATTATTAAATACCATTATACACGCAACTGTGGCATGGAAACAATCATGTATGTATGCGAAAGAGTAATTTGTTTAAGTATGACATATATAAAACAAGAGGCTCTCAAGAGCCTGAATCGCTCACCTGTAATTTTTTGCTTAAATCTTTCATCAATGATTATTTTTGCTTTTCAATATATATTAATGAGTGGCTTAAAAATACCATTTAAATGTTCTTTGTATCTGTCATATTTTCTTCAAAAGCAAAAAAATACATTTTACCCCTATGTTCCATTTTAGTCATAGTGGCTATGTTTTTGGATGTACAAGGAAATAAAATACAAAATTTATACTAGAAACTCTGAAACTCATTCAGCCCAAGTTTGGCTGAAATTGATTCAGCAGTTTCAAAGGAGAAGATGTTTTAAAGTAAGCAAACTAGATGGAACAAATTGTGAAAAATTGTCTTTAACGGACAATAACTCCTTAAGGGGTCAATTGACAATTTTGGTCATATTGAACTTATTTCTAGATCTTACTTTGCTGAACATTTTTGCTGTTTACAGTTTATCTTTATCTATAATAATATTCAAGATAATAACCGAAAACTGCCAAATTTCCTTAAAATCATCAATTCAGGGTTAATAACCTAAAAAACAGATACCCGATTTGGCTGATAATTTCAGGGCAGGTAGACCTTGACCTAATGAATACTTTATCTTCATGTCTGATTTGCTCTAAATGCTTTAGTTTTTGAGATATAAGCCAAAAACTGCATTTTACCCTATGTTCTATTTTTAGCCATGGCGGCCATGTTTTCTTAGGAAACAAAAAATAAAACACAAACTTTATTCTAGATAACCTAAGAATAATTCAGCTTAAGTTTAGTTTAATTTTGTTCAGTAGTTTCAGAGGAGAAAATTTTTAAAAGTTAGAAAACATGATAAACAAATAGTGTAAAATTGTCCTTAAAAGGCAATAACTTCTTATGGGGTCAATTGACAATTTTGGTCATCCAACTTATTTGTTGATCTTACTTTGCTGAACATTTTTGCTGTTTACAGTTTATCTTTATCTATAATAATATTCAAGATAATAACCAAAAACTGCAAAATTTCCTTAAAATTACCAATTTAGTGGCAGCAACCCAACAATGGGTTGTAAGAATCATCTGAAAATTTCAAGGCTGATGGAACTTGACCTAATGAACATTTTAACCCCATGTCTGATTTGCTCTAAATGCTCTAGTTTTTGTACAAGCCAAAAACTGCATTTTACCCCTATGTTCTATTTTTAGCATTGGCGGCCATGTTTTTTGACAAAACAAAAAAATAAAACATAAAGTTTATTTTCTATACCCTAAGGATCATTCAGCTAAGGTTTAGTTGGAATTGGTTCAGTAGTTTAAGAGAAGAAGATTTTTTAAAGTTAGAAAACATGATACACAAATTGTGTAAAATTGTCCTTAAAGGGCAATATCTCCTCAAAGGGTCAATTGGCAATTTTGGTCATCCAACTAATTTGTAGATCTTACTTTGTTGAACATTTTTGCTGTTTACAGTTTATCTTTATCTATAATAATATTCAAGATAATAACCAAAAACTGCAAAATTTCCTTAAAATTACCAATTTAGTGGCAGCAACCCAACAATGGGTTGTTAGATTCATCTGAAAAATTCAAGGCTGATAGAACTTGACCTAATGAACATTTATACTCCATTTCAGATTTGCTCGAAATGCTTTAGTTTTTGAGATATAAGCTCAAAACTGCATTTTACCCCTATGTTCTAATTTTAGCCATGGCGGTCATGTTTTTGACGAAACAGAAAATAAAACACAAACTATATTTTAGATACCCTAAGGATCATTCAGCTTAAGTTTGGTTGGAATTGGTTCAGTAGTTTCAGAGGAGAAGATGTTTGAAATAGTTTACACCGGACGAACGACGACAGACTCCGTCGTCGTCTGTCGTCGTCCGTCGTCGTCCGTCCGGTGTAAACTATTTCAAACATCTTCTCCTCTGAAACTACTGAACCAATTCCACGACGGACGCCAAGTGAGGGCAAAAGATCACATTTCCTTCGGAAAGACACAAATATTTGGAAAATTGGTAATAAATTTTGGGTTTGCAATAAAAAATATGAATTTCAACACGTTTTTTGTATTAAATCATATGTTAATGACTATACTTGGTCGTAGCTTGCGACGTTTAACGTTTTTATGAAGAATCACATATAATATATAGATATAAGAAGATGTGGTATGAGTGCCAATGAGACAACTCTCCATCCAAGTCAAAATTTATAAAAGTAAACCATTATAGGTCAAAGTACGGTCTTCAACACGGAGCCTAAGCTCACACAGAACAGCAAGCTATAAAGGGCACTAAAAATTACTAGTGTAAAACCATTCAAACGGGAAAACCAACGGTCTAATCTATATAAAAAACCGGAGAAACGAGAAACACTTATGAACCACATCAACAAACGACAACTACTGAACATCAGATTCCTGACTTAGGACAGGTGCAAACAAATGCATCGGGTTTAAACGTGTTAATGGTACCAAACCTTCACCCTTTTTCTGAAACAATAGTGTAACATCACAACATAGAAAGACACACTATAAAATATCAACTGAAATAGCTTAACTCAATCAAAGGACATATTAACAGCAGTGAACATACACTGAACAAATAAATTTAACCTATGATACAATACAAATACAAAATAAATAAACTAAGGGAAGAATAATAAAAGTAACATGTTATACCGCTATGAAATGTTAAACAATTTAAGAAAAACAATATGCTCGAACAAAAATATCACCCCTTTGCAATTACTTTAAACACAGGTAAATGAAAATAATTGTGTTGTTAGGTATACGTGTACAGTTCAAATAGAGAAAGGAAATATTTTTACAAAATAAATAATAAAACTATTTATCACTTATTTTCCGTTGCAGTGACATTTTCAGATTGTTGGTCAATATATTATGTAAATAATGACCACTCATATGAAATCACATGGAATGGGGATGAAATATATTCGCCTTGTCAAGTTACCTTCCATGGATATGACTCTGATAACGTACTCAATGAATATAAAGTGTGTATTCGAGCGTCCAATTGGAATATTACCGATGATGGTTCTGGAGTTGAATTGATGTATTACATGGGAGATGACGTTTTAAATGACTATCTTGAAAAAGTAAGTAGAAAGGATAAAATGTTGTTATTCCTCCACCTAGGGGCATTATGTTTTTCGGTCTGTGCCTCCGTTCGTACGTCCGTCCGTCCGTTCGTCCGTCTGTCCAGCTTCAGGTTAAAGTTATTGGTCGCTTTAGGTTAAGTTTTTGGTCAAGGTGGTTTTTGGTGAAGTTGAAGTCCAATCAACTTGAAACTTAGTACACATGTTCCCTATGATATGATCTTTCTAATTTTAATGCCAAATTAGAGTTTTGACCCCAATTTCACGGTCCACTGAACAGAGAAAATGAAAGCGCGAGTGGGGCATCCGTGTACTATGAACACATTCTTGTTTTTTAATGGTTTGCATAATAGAAACCGGAGTGAAAACTATTGCATTACATTATGCCATATCCATTCATTAGGACCCCCTAGTAGCCGCTATTCCATCGGTGATGCTGCAAGACATTATATTTATGGCTGACCCGCTTTTTTATCTAAAAGACACTTGAAAATGATTATTATAGAAGTAAATATCGCATGGACTGTATTTTTTTAAAGAGCGTTTATGCAACATGATACAAAGTCTACAGTTACTGTATATCTAGGCGAATTGTCAAGAACAGAATCAATATCCAAATAACAAAAGACAACCACTGACGAGGTTCCTGACTTGGGACTGAGATATGACTTCGCTCTTTTTACACTTCTCTTGCAGAGATTATAAGCCTTAGATTGATTTGTTTTGTATTTTTTTAGACATACAGTAAACAAAGCATGTCTTCTGCAACAGAACAATGGTGTTCGGAGGGTAATAAGTATGTTGATGTAAAACTAAAGACGACCTCTTCAATTTACACACAGGGAAAAATTAAACTACAAGTCAGTGCACATATGACATACAACTGTAAGTTTTAGAGGAAGAGTAGAGAATAACATATTTACTTAACTTTAAAAAAGAGGGACGAAAGATACCAGAGGGACAGTCAAACTCATAGATCGAAAACAAACTGACAACGTCATGGCCAAAAATAAAAAGACAATCAGACAAATAATAGTACAGATGACACAACATAGAAAACTAAAGACTAAGCAACACGAACCCCACCAAAAACTGGGGGTGATCGCAGGTGCTCCGGAAGGGTAAGCAGATCCTGCTCCACATGTGGCACCCGTCGAGTTGCTTATGTTATTACAAATCCGGTAAATAGTCTAATTCGGTAAGTCACATTCGTGAAAAGGGAAGGGTATTGTAGTTACGACATAAGGAACATATCCGATATCATCTGTGAAACGGTTATTCCATAACGGTCAACCAACTCGTGATGGCGTCCGTAAAAAATACGAAGGGATGACTTCAACTTCACCATTTGGAACTCTTGGTTTAATAGCTTCCTTGTGAGCAGCAATCCTCTATCAAGGAAATCATGATAGGAAACACAAGCCCGGGAATATCGTATCAATTGGGAGATATATACTCCGTATGCAGGCGCTACTGGAATGTTGCTACATAGAAATGGAAAGTTCACAATTGGGAAGCTGAAATCATCTCTTTTGTCGTAAAGTTTTGTTTTCAACCGACCCTCATTGTCAATTTCTAGATGTAAGTCAAGATATGAGGCAGACTTAACTGTATCTGTAGTATCCTTTATCTCTAGTTCGATGGGATAGATTCGTTCAACATAGTCACCAAATTTTGTATTATTTAGTGAGAGAACATCATCTATATAGCGGAACGTAGAGTTAAAGGATATTGCTAACTTCTTATCTCTCTTCTTAAGAAGCTCCTGTATGAAGTCAGCCTCATAATAATAAAGAAACAAGTCGGCAAGAAGAGGGGCACAATTGATTCCCATTGGAATTCCGACAGTCTGTTGAAAAACACGTCCTCCAAACGTAACAAATATGTTGTCAATCAAGAAATCAAGCATCTTGATAATGTCAGTTTCAGAGAATTTTTTGTTTGAATCAGAAGGTATGATCTAAAACACCAATGGTCGAATTGCCTACTTTTATAGAGAAGCCTTTTCAAACGAGGATTATAAAAATTGAGAATGGAAATGGGGAATATGTCAAAGAGACAACAACCCGACCAAAGAGCACACAACAGCCGAAGGCCACCAATGGGTCTTCAACGCAGCGAAAAAATCCCGCACCCGGAGGTGGTCCTCAGCCGGCCCCTAAATAAAATTGTGTACCAGTTCAGTGAAAATGGACGTCACCCTAAACTCCAAAACATATAAATGAACTAGAATTTAAAAACATACAAGCTGTCAGTAACTGCGAGTACTCTCAGATCTGTACTAAGTGTCTTTTTGTTGTTTGGATGTACAAGTACCCGGCCACGTCCACTTGTATTTGTAGTATTTGTATTTTTATCCATCTGATGAGTTAAGCCTCTTTCAACTGATTTTTATAGTTCGTTCTTATGTTGTACTGTTACACCACTGTCCCAGGTTAGGGGAGGGTTGGGATCCCGCTAACATGTTTAACCCCGCGACATTCTGTATGTATGTGCCTGTCCCAAGTCAGGAGCCTGTAATTCAGTGGTTGTCGTTTGTTTATGTGTTACATATTTGTTTTTTGTTCATTTTTTGTACATAAATTAGGCCGTTAGTTTTCTCGTTTGAATTGTTTTACATTGTCATTTCGGGGCCTTTTATAGCTGACCTCGCGGTATGGGCTTTGCTCATTGTTGAAGGCCAGTTGTGACCTATAGTTATTAATTTCTGTGTCATTTGGTCTCTTGTGGAGAGTTGTCTCATTGGCAATCATACCACATCTTCTTTTTTATAAGACTAACAAAGGCCAGCGGCTCCTGAGTTGGGACAGGTGCAAAAATGCGGCGGGGTTAAACATGTTTTTTGAGATCTCAACCCTCCCCCTATACCTCTAGCCAATGTAGAATAAAGAAACACATAGCAATACGCACAGTAAAACTCAGTTTAAAAGAAGTCCGAGTCCGATGTCAGAATAGGTAACAAACAAAACTAAGCAGAATGACAATGATACATAAATGAACAAAGGACTACTAGCAGTTACTGACATGCCAGCTCCAGACCTCAATTAAACTGATTGAAAGATTATAACTTCGTCATATGAAAATCAAGTACAATCCCTCCCGTTAGGGGTTTAGTATCATACCATCATATCATATAGTTGACGATTGACTGTCATGATTTCGTAGCGGCATTTTTAAAGGAATATGTTGTGTTGAACTAAGTTGTGTTACAGTTTTACCCTGTATAACAGTCATTTCTGTTTCAAATTACTCTGAATCTTGGAGTCAACGTCACAATCGAAAATAAGTCTCCATTTTCAAGAACAGAATCCATAAAAGAAAACAACCACTGACGAGGTTGTCGACTTGCGACTGGAACATGAACATGTGGCGGGGTACATTATACATGTTAATTAGTTGTTTGTTGTTTTTTTTTGTTTTTTAGATTACAACCCTCGATCAGTTGAATAACACAAATTATATAATAGAATATATACAATAACATAAATACAGGAAAGCACATAACTCTAAACAAGAACTACAACCCCCACCCCCGGATAAAACAGATACCACCAAAACGCTACTCCTGAATGTCCACAGTTGCTGGAAGCAAGCCCAAAGTACTTAATCTGTAGAATGAAATTCACCTACACTCTTATATCGGTGGCTGTTCTCCAGAGTAGATTTCATACAATTAAAGTGAGTCGTAAATAGTATTATAGTACAGGAAGACAAAAGAGAGGCGAAAGATACTAAAGGGACATTCAAACTCATAAGTCGAAATAGTACAATGTCCGTAATAAATCTGCACAGAATGTCATCGAAGAAAAAAAGAAACTTTTTAGTCTTGCTTAAGGGTTTTCACCCTAAAAATATTAGATGCAATGATTTAAAAGCAACAGTAAATTATTAGGTTTATTGATATTTCTATTTAGCCAAAATAAAGAATGAAAGTACATGCTTAAACTTGTAAGTTTCATATATGACATTACCGAAAAAACTGGGTTGGAAATTGAATACATCTTTTCATTATACCATGCAGGTGGAATCGTACACATACACATCTCTATATTACATGTAGAACAGTGTTCAGGCTTTGACCATTTTGTTTTATATCTATTTCCATGTTGTAATTTTGTTCAGTCATGACAATATTTGTTTATTGAAATCTGAGAAGCATGCATAACATGTGGTTTGAGTTATTACAATTCTTAATGCTTTCATTTACCATGTGTTCCTAATTATGCCTTGAATTGCGATATTATACCCACTCTGTAGGAGTAGGGTACAGGAGTGGGTGCTACATTGCATTCGCCTTATCTATCCGTCAGTTCGTCTGTTCGTCCAACAGATACTTTAGTCACACTGTTCTCAGGTACTACTGAACAGAATGATTTCACATTTGTTCAGCAGCTTGGCAGTGATAAGTTGTAACGCATGAGCACGTTTTGGATCTGTCAAAAACCTTCATTCTGTTTACCAATATGTTGAATGAACCTTAAATTTTTAATCACACTTTTCTTAGGTACAATTGAACAGAATGACTTCACATTCTGTCAGCAGCTTGCCAGTGATGAGCATGTGAGGACTTTATGAATTTGTCAGATACATTCTTCCTATTTGCCGATACTTCTGAATTGATATTTATATAAAAGGTACAATACCAGTGACATATGAATAAAATGTTATATATTAGCGAAAAGCATTATATTGTCTTCAACAACAGCAAATACAAGTAAAATGTGCAAACTGAGATTAAAAAAGTTGAAAACAGTAAAATTAAAACACCAGAGATACATTTAAGAATAAAGACAAGTAGTTTAAACCCGCTACATTTGTTTGCACCTGTCCTAAGTCAGGAACCTGATGTTCAGTGGTTGTCGTTTGTTGATGTGGTTCATAAGTGTTTCTCGTTTCTCGTTTTTTATATAGATTAGACCGTTGGTTTTTCCTGTTTGAATGGTTTTACACTAGTCATTTTTGGGGTCCTTTATAGCTTGCTGTTCGGTGTGAGCCAAGGCTCCGTGTTGAAGACCGTACTTTGACCTATAATGGTTTACTTTTACAAATTGTGACTTGGATGGAGAGTTGTCTCATTGGCATTCATACCACATCTTCTTATATCTAAGTACAATTAAAATATGAATATGATTAAATAAACGTTTTTCTTTTTTTAGATTATAAATCTATCGCATGGATTATTGGTGGAACAATTGGTGGAGTTGCTTTGCTTATAACAGTAGTTTCCATGGTAATAGTGATTTGCTGTCGACGACGACAGAATGCAGGGGTAGTGTACAATACACCGAATGTAGCTGGTAACACTATCTTAACACAATCCGGGTCACAACAACTGGCCGGTAAGGTTTTATTTTTTTTAATGTATTTATGGCTAGTTTTCTCTAAATTTGTTGCTCTCAAGAAAACAAAATTCTAAGAATGTTTAACCCTTGTGGGGTTTAGATATTTTTTTTTTTTTTTTTTTTTTTTTTTTTTTTTAAATTTTAAACATATTTTATTAATAATCACCTGTTACATCAACCCTAAGTTGCCCAGGGAAGCAACAATGGGGGCCCCAATTTTTACAGGATCATTTGTCAGGGAAAAAGCAAATGAGAAAACAAAACTCACATTATTAATAATTAACATCTATCTTTATAAATATCATCTATCTTTGTACAAATAACATGTAGTATAATCTATCTATATATTTTTAATATCACACCAAATATAATCGTTTGAGTAAAGTATTCATTCTATCGGGTTTTTTTTTTTGTATATGTAAGAGAATGATAATCCCTTTCTTCATGAATAAGTACGAGCGTTAGCGAGTACTTATCATGAAGTAAGGGATTATCATTCTCTTACAAACTGAGAATATTGTAAAGTGCTCAAGGCTCAAATGATCTATTCAAGAATTAGTTTCATTGTCAGTGCAATGTTTATAATTGATGCATGACTTCCTTTTTCGGCATGTCATTTATGGATTAGTTTTAGTGATGTGAGGACTTTCTTATCATTTGGGAAATATTTTTAAAAAAAATGAGTTACAGATATTAGGTGACACAACAGTAGAAAGAAAAGGTAGGAATTGTATGTTTCCTGATTGTGAGTATGAATGTAAATCATGTAATATTTCAGTGAGGAATTATCCTTTTTTTATTTACAGTTTAAATCAATTAATACATTTGAGTTACAACTAAATTTTATTCACAGCCAATAACTTGGTCCGGCTTTTTATATCAAATACTGTTTCATTATATCAGGGAAATGTTCAAAAATAATGCCCTTAAAAGTTTTTAATATGTTCAAAATTAAATGCCTGTTTTTTTTTTTTTTATCGGAATACATGTATTGGAAATAACTATTCTCCCCAACCGCTGATCAAGTAATCAAAGTTTTGGAAAGCTAAAGATTTAGGTTATTTTTTATCTGAAAGATTTTTTTCTTTTTTTTGCATTGCTTTGGTATTGTTTAATTTTATAGTATTATTAATATTTTCATAATAAAATTCACGGTACCAATTTTACTGCACCAGTTTTTTTTTTTGTTTTTTTTTTGAGATTTTTGTTTGTTTCACAATTCAACTTTTAGTCAGTTTCAATCACTGTGTGATAAATCCTTTCAATCTGATAAATGTGCTTCGGGGCAGTTGTAACTCATTTATAGAAACTCTTTGTTTTGAACTGTAAATAGACCCAAATAATAGGATAATCCCTTACTAAGAACATGATTTACATTCATTCTTCACCACTAAGAGGCATCCAATCCTACAATTTCATTGGTCGAGAGTACTTTGCTATATTCTAACTCTCAAAAGAGCTACCTGTATTTATTAGGCAGGTTCAATTTTATAGCACTTCACTCCGTTCATTTGTTATGTTAATTTCTATTACATTAAATTTCTGGTCGAGTGATCTTTTGCCACGTGATACTCGTTAAAAATTAACTTAAAGGAAGATTAATGTGTAGTTCTTTCATAAAAGTTGGAATTAAGATTTTGTTTCCCAAAAATGATTTATTTCAAAGATATGGTAAGTAAATATTTGCTTATAATATGTACCTGTTGATACAACCTGTCCTTGTTACAAGTATATAATATACATAATTATACATAATTTACATACACAATAGAACATACATAGTATATAAAGGGAGTTGAGAGTAATGCATGATAATTTATTCAGTATTGAAGAGGTCATTACACTGGCCTGACCACGCAAAATTGTATATATTTATATACAAAAAGTGTCGCACATAGTAGAAAAGGCTTCATTGTTCGTATTTGGTTTAAGGGATTTGAACAAAAATTGCATTTCATGTTTTATCATATTGAAAATCATCCATTTACTTATCCCTTTCTTTTGATATTTTGCGATGTTTCTAGTTTTCCAAATAACCCATTTCGTGATAAGAAGCACCGTATCTAAAATTTGAGAATATGATGTATCTGCATTTATGACACCCAAAATGATACTCGTTTCCGATTGTTGTAATTTTTCGATACTCAATTTTGAACAAAATTTCCATATTTTCTCAAAAATTTCCCTCCAAACGTCTTCCACCAGTTTACAGTAAATAAAAAGATGAAACAGTGATTCTTTTTCATTACAAAAGTGACACTTTCCGTTTGACCGATTCATTTTTTGTAATTTTCTTCTGTGTAAATTATATTATGAAGTAGCTTCCATTGAAGTTGTTTAGGTTTCCTATTTGCTAAATTCTTATTCAAAGTGACCCAAATATCGCCCCATGGTAGTTCTTTCCCAAAATGTAAATTCCACTTAAACTGACTATTTGGAGTTATGTTATTCTCATAAAAGTATCTAATATCTTTAAGGCACAATTTTTTAGCATCAACGACAACTCCATTTTTTGAAATTTGACAAGAATTTGTTATTTTCATAGGTCTATCCGAATGACTTTGCATGATGGGGTCTGTTTTTGTTAAAAGGTCAATTTGTTGAGGCGTTAACGAAGCTTTAATGCGGCTATATTGTGCTATCCAGTTCCTTTTATCTTTTAGGTTGTTAAAAATTTCAAAAGAAGTTTTAAAGGATTCATTTTTTAAGTCCCATATATCTTTTATTTTTTTTATTCCACTGGAGGCAAAATTTGCATAATATAAGGTATAAGGCCCCTTGAACTTGAATTTACAATTGCCGAATATATTTTCTTCTAAAAGGTCCTCTTTCGTGACAAATTTTTGGGTTTTCTGTAAGTCAGTCCAGGAAATTAAAAGTTCTTTATAATATTTAGACATTTTTATTTGACTAAGACCTCTAGTGTCCGAACAAGAACATATAAAAAAGTCTGTATCATATTTTTCGTCTAGTGACGTTAACCAGTATTTACCTATTGCATTCCATTTTTGTATTTTTGAGTTTACAATACTGTACATACTTTTAACCTGTTTTGATTTAATAAAGTCTCTTAAGTTTATCATTCCTATCCCCCCTTTTTCTTTCGGTAAACAGCACACTGTTCTTGCGATTTGGTTTGTTTCCCCGTCCCATATAAAGGACCATATGATATTATTTGTTTGTTTTTCGTATATATCTGGAATACCTCTCATTTCAATTTCGTATCCAATCTTAGACAATACAAAAGATTTAATAATTAAAACTTTTCCCGTAAATGTGAGATCTCTTGATTTCCAAACCTCCATACAGCTTTTTATTTTATTTATTTTTTCTAACCAAATTTGATCTAAGTCCACCCCATACCCATGTTGAACCCCTAATGCTTTCACAGGCCGCTTAGACCATTTAATTTTGTTAAATTTTTGTTTTCTATTTCGCCACTTGCCTAAATACATACCCACAGTCTTTTCCATATTCATTCTAGCCCCTGAAGCGTTTTCGTACAGTTTTAAAGTTTTAAATGTTTCTTCGATAGACTCCTCACTTTTATTAAAGAGTTGAGTATCGTCAGCAAAAATATATAGCTTTGTTTCAATATAGTCCCCAGTTCTAGTTGGGAGTTTTATTCCTTCTATATTAGGGTTGTTTCTAATTGATGCTGCAAGTGGTTCTGCTTGCAGAATATATAATATAGGAGCAATTGAGCATCCTTGACGAATTGAACGAGTTATGCTTACAAATCTAGAAGTAAACCCATTCGTATGAATACACGTCTTAGCGTTAATGAAAAGCATTTTTACCCAACTCCTGAATTTTTCCCCAAACCCAAATTTTAATAAACAAAAATCTATCCATTCCCACTCCGCCCTATCAAATGCTTTTTGTTGGTCCAAGAATAAGATCGCACCCTCCTCATTTTCTAATTCACAAAAATCTATTACATCTTGCAGTAATCTATTGCCTTGAAAAATGTTGCGCCCTTTGACAAACCCTTTTTGATCCAAATCTATTATTTGCGGTAGTACATTTTTTAACCTTTCCGCGAGTACTTTGGAAATAATTTTATAATCCGTGTTCAAGAGCGTTATAGGACGCCAATTTTTTATGGCTTCTCTCTCCCCAGACTTAAACATAAGCGTTATCATACCTCTGTATTGAGATTCACAGAGCAAATTGTTGTCGAAAATTTCCTTAATAACCGCCACGAAGTCGTTGCTTATCAAATACCAATACGTTTTGTAAAAGTCATTCACAATTCCGTCTTCCCCAGGGGATTTATCAAGTTTCAAAATTTTAACGGCCTTACTTATTTCATCCAAAGTTATTTCCATTTCACACATTTTTTTACTTTCTTCACTTAGTTTATGATCTATATTCTGTAATAGATTTTCTGCAGCATCCCTATCCCACCCCTCGGACGTAAATAATTGTTTGTAGAAAGATACTTGTTCTTCTAGGATAGATTCTATATCAGCTTTATACCTTCCGTCTGAACCTTTTATTCTAGTCCATAATTTTTCCGCGCCCCTCTTTTTTTCGAGTTTAAAGAAGTACCCTGTAGATTTGTCGCCTTTCTCGTACCAGTTAACCTTGGACCTAATTCTGACTGCCTCTGCTTTTTTGGCATAATGATCTTTAATTTTTACTTTCAAATTATCTAATTCGTTTTCATCATTGATAGGATCCGTTCCTGTAATATTATCCAACCTTTTTTCCCATTCCCTTATTTGTTTTTCTGTTACGTTTAATTGCTTTGCAACTTGTATAGTAATAATTTTTATTTTTATCTTAGTATCCTCCCACCATTCTAGATTATTTTTGAACTGATTTTTTTTTAGTTTCCAGTTTCCCAAAAGCTTTCGAACGTATTTCTAAATAAATCCGATTGGATAACTGATGAGTTCATTTTCCACGTTCCGGGACCGCGTTCTGGTTCATTTGTTTTTAATTTCATGAACACACCGTCGTGGTCACTGAACGGAAAATAAACTATTTTTACCTGTTGTGATTTATATTGAAGCTCACTACTTATAAAGATATAATCAATTCGTGACCTTGAGTTACCCCGGCAAAAAGTATATTGTTTGTCTTTAGGGTATCGCTTTCTCCACACGTCTATGTCTAGGTTAGTCTATGGAAAGGTATATACTATGAAATTTAGAGCGAGGGGCTTGCCCCGAGCTCTTAATTTCATAGTATATACCTTTCCATAGACTATCCAATTTAGCACATACTTACAACTCGAGTAATCTTTTAATTGGTCTATTGATAGTTTATTTTGGCTGACTACTTGTATCACAGGTGTTTGTAAAACGGAGCTCATTAACGAATTTTGTAAATCTACTCACTAGTATCATTGTAAAATATGTGATTTCAAAAGGCCCTTCACTCCAGAATGAAAAGATGGTAGCTGCTGGTGTAAGTATGTATACTGATATAAAGCGGTGTTTTACTATACATGTTCTTCTTACAAGGTAAGATGACAAAATAAATTGACCAAAAGCAGGCAATAATTAAATTGCAGTGGAAGCTTTACATGTTTTGAAAACATTTTTTTAATTTCACAGTAAAACTAAAGATATAATAAATTTGAAACATATAGATAGTTTGTCCCCAAAGATATAGTCTAGCAGATAGGCATTAAAAAGCAACTATAAATAGATCAGAGATTATAGGTTTTGTGTTTTTTTTTTATTAGTTCAAAGTAAAAACAAAGATTTATCAGAATATGTTTATATATATAAATAATATAGGTGGCACATTATCTTCAGACATAATCACAGTTTTTCAATTCATGACATCGTCCTGAACATGCATGAAATATTTGCCACTGGACATTAAGCAACCAATAATCAATAAATCAATCAATTCATGACGAAATAGATCACTTTCCTTAAGAAAGTTTAAAAAATTATCACCAACGTTCTTTAATTTGCCTTCACAAGGTTTCATAGTACACACTTTTCTGTGTACAAAGTAATTGCATGGATGATACATTATCATAATTTTAAGATATCGTTGTACTCTAATCAAGGTATAAAGAACCATATGTATTACCCTTTATTTAAATGATAAAATTTGCAATTGTCAAAAACATTTTTTAGATCCAAAGATTTTAATAGCAGGATATTTAAAAATCAATGTGAAAACTAATTACAAACTATTTAATTTAATTTGGAACACAGCATTTTATTTCAAAATAGCCAATGGCAATTTTTGTTTTAAATATCTTGATTACGATACAATGAAATCTTACCCTTGTGGTCATTCATGCGTAGTTACTTAGTACACAGGAAAAGTATGTACTATGAAAATTAGAAGGCAAATATAAGCAATTTGATTGGACGAGAAGTTGTAAGTATGTGCTAATAACTCATTATGCTCGACAAATGTTTTTAATTCAAGTGATCCTGTGTCGTCTCGAAAAGGCACCGGTTTTCGATCTCAATTTTTTATAAGAGCACAATTAAAATCTCCGAGAACGATATTTCTATTATTGTTATCAATAAGTATATCTTTTTCAAAAAAGAATTTTCTGTCACCAGCCAAATTGGGAGCATACATATTGTAAATAAAAATCCCGTTATTACCTGGCGTTTTAACATGTACAGAAATTGTTCTACCATTACTATCACGTCCGGTTTCAGTGATTTCAAATTTAAATTTTGGGTTTAGATATTAATATATGCTAGAAAATGTCTAAATCATTCAAAACACTCACGTTTTTCTACCTCCAAGCATAGATGGCCTTCGCCAGATTTAGCCTACTTTTTAGAATTTTTATTTTCAATGCTCTTCAATTTCTTAATTGATTTGGTTTTCAAAATGTTTTGTTCGAGCGCCACTAATGAATCTCATGTTACAGTAGATAAATAGCTCGTACTAGTACTGTATTATAAGCCTGGTACCTTTGAGGAGTCCATGAAATATAACTATTATTTCAAATCTATAAGTTGCAGTTGAAGACTATTTTGATACAACATTGCCAATTTTAGATGTTTCCGTTAAATGTTGCATTGAAGGGCATCTATAACCATTATATTAGATAAACATGATACGTTTGAAAAATAATGCATAGCTTCACTTTCAAAAGAATTATCGTTTTAGTTTAGAATGTCCTTTTCTTCTTTTTTTTTATTATGAACATAACTTTATTTTCAAAGAATTATTGTTTTAGTTTAGAATGTCCTTATTATCATTTTTTTTTAAATTATGAACAACTTTCTGAATATAGATCTAGTAATGCTGAACGATACTTTTTATATGTACTGTGCAATCATTAATTATTATATTTGGTTATATGAAATATATTATTTTATTCAGATGGAGGATTCTCAAACCAAGGCTACTGGAACCACCAGGCACCACCGTCTTACTACCATTCAACAAATACACCATATCCTGCAACACAGGAGACTAGCAGAGCAGGTGTACACCAAAAGCAATAAATTACTGTTTTTTATTTGAACTGAAATAAACATCAAAATTAACATAAAATCTTAAAGCGTTCTCATCCCTCTCGGAACTTGTCAAGTTGTCCGTGTCGTTGCGTTACAAAAGCTGAATCGCAGTTGTTTCCGGTTTCACGTATAGAGGTTATACGCACGATTTGCTTCTCAATCGTCCGAAATTTGACGTTTAACGCCGAAAACTATAATTTTAAAAGATATTATGCGTATAGTTTGTTACGTATGACGTGCAAAATGTTACTTTTTGAAATTATTTTGTCGGTATGTGATCTATTTGTAAAAGTGAGATCAATTTTATATATTTTTATAAACGGTACAAGTAGACACAGATCAGTGTGGATAGTATGTTTGAATGTTTGAGAGTTTTTTCTGACAAAAAGAGTTCTCTGTATTTCCCATAGGGTTCTTTGCTTAACTGTGTAGCACTGTGACAGCCAACCTGTACCAAAAACTTTGATTTTGGATAGTAGCAAAAACTCAAAATTAGGACAGTTACACATTAGATGCATTTCTGCATGATGTGATTTTAATATGCGAGATGGTATCTGAGAACCTGCATTCATGTACTATTTGTATGGTTCTATTTATGTTCCTTTGTTGTGGTCATTTCTTGCTTGGGTAACGGTTTGTCCACAAAAACTGTAAATTAGTTAAGGATCTTCCCAGTATCATTAGTAAACATGGTAAAAGATTTCGTTTAAATGTCGAAATTGTTTCTTAGAAGATAACTTATGGTTTTAAGTAATGACAATACCTGGCATGACGCTTAGGGCTAAATGAGCTAGAAAGTACACTTCTGTGTTATTTTAGTTCTTTCTTCGAAAATGTCTTCTCCAAGGCGAAGTCGAAGTTAAAAAAAAATAATTTGACCAGTTTGAAAATGATGTCAATTAAAGAACCTTTATGACATGCTTCAAAGACTCATAATTCCTACAAAAGTCAACTAATTAAACTTCTTGTGGATACGAGCATCTACATAATATGTTCTAATTATCTTCAAAGTTTCCTGAAATTCTGTTGTATGGTTTCAGAGGAGTTGAGATGAAAAGAACAGAACTGATGGACAAACGGACTGACTGGTCAATAACATTATACTTATTTACTTTGTTGTGTTGGGTACTATAACTTGTTATAAACGGTAATACTTGCTGAGCTTATAGTTATAAAGATTATATAGTTTAACTGTTATGATTTTTCAAAGAGCTTCTTGTGATTGGAATGTGTATGATTTCGTGGCATTGACACAATAACGTGTGCAACGTTATGGCATTTTATTATATACTTAGTAGTAAATACGAGTAAATTATATGTGTAATACAATCGATTGCAATCATGTGTATCAGCCAACCGTGATGATATCTATATCAGTCACGGTTGCAAAGGCTTTATCAAACCCCTAATCTGTATGACGTCACGTAATCAATATCAGTCACGGTTACAAGGACTTTATCAAACCCCTTATATATGTTTTACGTCATGTCACATGAAAAAAACATTTTATTAATTGTACTTGAGCAGAGCTCTTTGGATTATATATTGGTGTCTCGGGTTAATACAGGTGTGATGTTGAAAAAGCCATATGATATTCTCTATTTATAACAACATCTTTACGTAAATATAATTACCAAGTTTGTACTGGATTGAAATACATGAATGAGGTCTTATATCATCTTAAGCTGCATTCTTGATATATAAAAACTTATTAAAAACGTCTTTGGATTTTCAGTCGTTGAGTTACTATCTGGATCATTGACGTTTACCACCGTCTCCTTTTATTTATAGGAGAGCATTTCAAGTTTTTTTTTACTTATTTTTATACAGTTGTATTAGGGTAAGGGTAAAATATTAATTCACAACAACATTTTGACTTAATATGATTTCTACTTTGAAAACATTGACTGTTTGTCTCGAACTCAAAACTTCAGATCTGTAATTCTTGGTCTTTAGAAATTAAAAGAATTTGAACCTGAATGAATAAAACAATCCTTTCAACAGTTTGTTCATATTTTTTTTTATTTCCATTATTTGAACAATTTGAAGATATTTAAGCTTTTTATGAAAACCAAAAATTTAGCAAAAACATTCCCGCCCTCTAAAAAAATATAGATACGATGATTGACATAATCTTTCGACAAATAACATCTTGGGCCAAAATATTTGGATATCCAAAACCTTATACAAACGTTGAAGAGCTAATAAAACGGAAGAAGGACCCAAAATAATAATCGGAACCCAGATGACGAATAAGAGCTGTGCATGAGGGATATTATTTGACATTATGTATGAAAAAATACCAAACATACATGTACATTACTTAATTTTAAGACTCCGGGCACTAATACGGACTATTTCTTTAGTTCAATATGGATTTAATATTTAACAGGTGTAAATTGTTTTTAATTTTCTCATCGTTACAGATTATAAACATGTTTATATACATTTATTACATTGGTAGCATTGAATTACATTGATTTCCCAGTCAAATAAAAACCGATAATTTCACATGTGAAATAAACGTGGTTATTTCACTCTCTGACGTCATACAACAATGGGCGTTGTCAAGACGTCGATAAAGTCGGATCAAAACAAATTGTGAATGCGTAGAAAAAAGATATAGTTCCTTACATTTTCTACATTAATTTCATTAAAAAAGGCCATTTGCCAATGTAATAAAAAGAATAACTAATCGAAGAATTCAAATATCGAAAAATATTCAACTCGTGACCGAACAACACTGCGCATTCGTGAATTAATGTGTTGTTCGGTCACTCGTTGAATATTTTTCTCTATTTGAATTCTTCGATTAGTTATTCTATAATTAATATACATTATGATAGATATTACAATTAGCATAGTTGCCAAGCAACTGTTTTGTTGATTTGGTTTGAATAATCAATGAAGCAATGAAATACAAATGTAAAAAAAAAATATACTATGATATTGAAAATATTTTTATTGTACATTTTGTGCGAACGTCATACATTTCTGTATAATTCATCCTTTGAATTTCACAAGTAACTTTAAAAAACATATCTTGAATGTGTTTGAATTGTTTTACACTAGTCATTTTGGGGCCCTTTATAGTTTGCTGTTCGGTGTGAGGCAAGGCTCCGTGTTGAAGGCCGTAATTTGATCTATAATGGTTTACCTTTTACAAATTGTGACTTGGATGGAGAGTTGTCTCATTGGCACTCATACCACATCTTCTTATATCTATATATTGTGTAAAACAAATAATATCAGAAATAAGTTATCACGATTTAAATAAAAATCAGAAATAAGTTATCACGATTTAAATAAAAGTTTTCGAAACATGAATTCGGAACTAAATACATATTTATAACTAAAAACCAATACAACAACAATATTGAAGAATTAAAGATTAATTTTGAACAGCTAGAAGGAAGAAAATAAGGTTCACGATTTCCCAAAGCCATCACAGTCTATTACCTAGCTTAAGGGCATACGATACAGTAGAGATCCCTCGTTGATTTTGTCTTGAAATTTTGATAGAAGGTCAATTTGAATGTGTACTATATGCAAAGAAAAATGTACTATTATGACTTACTTTTTGAGATATTTTGGTTCGAAATTTCCATATTTGAAGGAAAATCTTGAAATTTCATAATTAAGGACTTTTAAGGAAAGAAGCAATACTTTTGAACGAACAGTCATAATTTAACCGGGTTTTTTTTTGTAAAATGTTCCCTTGATCCATGGCAACAACATGCTGTAACAAGTTTAAGGTTTACCCCAATAAATATTTCCTGAACTTATATTACTATTAGTGAAATAAAGAAGTTGACAATATTTTTGAGTCTACACAGAAGTACAGAAAAAATTCTATTGTTGATTTTTTCTTAAAATTTTGGTGGAGCGTTCTTGAAACAGTACTTGATTGATTGCAAAAGAAAAAACTAGGGGTCCATGTGCTTGGGTTTTTTTTCAATAAAAGCCATAAACCTTGATTTTTAATGGCAAGCGTCCCGTTTGCCGATATGGCGCTAAATTACATTGAAATAAGTTTTAATCGCAATAACGTCGTGAAACCATTCCCGCCGTACACGACTACGCAGTCAAGTTCAGTGGTATAGCCAAAGGTTTTTTCCAAAGCAACGATATTAATCATCAAAATTTATAAAGCTGGTAACTTGTAAAATAGCATAAGATATTTGCCTTTATGAAATGTTACGAAACTTGGACAGAATCTTCTTCATTATCAAGAAAGAGCATTTTAAAAAGTATTCTAGTTTTAATTAATTACTTTGAGAAATGTTAGGAAACAAAAAAGATTAGTCTGATAAAAGAATAAAGAGGTAGGGCCAATTTCCCCTGAAATTTTTTCACAGAAGGGCCAATTTCAAAAAGTGCTGAAAGAATAAAATTTACGATAAAAACATGAAATAAAAATGTTTTTTGGTCAATATCTCGATTTTTATGTATTATGTTATGTCTGGAAAATAGTTAATTTAACCTCCAAAAAAGGATGAAAGTCAAATATGCGGAATTTACCGTGTTTTTAGGTTGGAAAAACAGGGAATCACCCTAGAAGGACACTTCAAACCAAAACAAAGTTATGTTTTTTGTTGTTGTTGTAACTTATACAACTTTTCCCCTCAAAAATGAAATTGGTTTAGTGTGTCCTTAATACCTAAAAAACAACTTTTTTAATAAAAAGTAGAACATCACTAAATTTTACCTATATAGCTGCTTAATATCGACTATGTTTTCAAGAGTCGCCGTGGCTTCATCGGTAGCGCTTAAAACTGTAAATAATGGATTGTTTTTAAGATTGGGTTCAAATCTCACGCTAATTTTTCTCATTTTTTATGTTGAACATTAAAATGTTATGTTTCTATCACATTTTTTCGGATGTTTGTTTAATTCAAAGAGTCACACTGAAGTAGGTGCTTGTACATAACCAATAACACGAGGATTGATTATATAGCAATGAAGCCCAAATGTTGTGTGTGTTATACGCATAACGAAAAAAGGCCATAGCAGAAAAATTTTAAAACAACAAAAATATTTTTTCTAAATCTTGAACAAGAACGTTTTAGAAAATGGTATGATTTGTAACAAATGCAGACAGTGATTTTATCGCCAATCCACCAACTGTGTAGATACTAGTACTGGCATTGTTATATTGTCCCTAAACCGGAACCTAAGTCATCAG